CCTGAGTAGCTAGGATTATAGGCATGAGCTACCAGCACCTGGCTGGTGTCTGTCTTTCAAATGATTTTTTCTGTCCAGTCTTCCATCATCCATCTCTCATCCATCCATCTATCCATCCACTCCATCCACCCATCCATCTATCCCATCCACCCATCCATCCACTCATCCTTTGTCTATGTATTTCCTAACATGTTAACAAATGTGCCAATGTCTCCATAGTCTCTTAGCATCTCAAATCCTACAAAGTAAGGTGTCTTGAGACAGGAAAATAGAAGTCTCAAGAAGATTCACTCCAATGCCTGAGAACTTTGTCCTTTAAACCAGTTCTGTCCTGGATCTGATTTCAGACTGAGTGTCACTGCAGGGCATCTTGTTGCTGACAAGCACTGTGTTTTCTTCCCTCAGCTCCTCTAGACATAAATGTTGGCAGTTGTTGCACACTTTACTTCTTCATCCAGCATATTTTACATGGGGTTTGGAAAGGAAAAATATAGACTTCACAGTTATATGATATAGCTCTAAACTCTGATGAGTTAATTGTATTTTACCAGTCATCTCTAGCTACTACATCGACAGAGGTAAGAGCATTCTGCATACAAACCTTTGTCAATTAGCAGGAACAGCTTAGAAACAATTTTCATGCAGACATGGCTAAACGTGAGACTGATTTCCTACTGGGGTAGGTTTATTACTAGCCCAGAAAAACGTATTAGTCACAGTAAGTAGACAGTAGCTGTTTTTCAATGTTGGCAATTGAACACTATGAGCTGTAAGAGGGAGAAATAGGGCAACATCCTGGTCTGTATACACACACACACACACACACACACACACACACACAGACACACAGACACAGACACAGACACACAGACACACACACACACACACCCCTTAAATGACAGCTTAGCTGATTTAGTACAAATAAACCAACTACAGAATACTGTGGTATTTTCCCCCGAGTTTATGTAACAAACAAACAAAAATTTCCCAAACACTGCTTGCATCATTCTATTGGGAGTTAGAAGTTGGTTGAGAGTGGAATTACTTTGAATTATCTTCATTATTCTCACTTCAGTAGGAAGTGAGAACAGTTCTGCAAACCAGGTACAGGAAGTCATAGTTTATATAAAGTTGATCTTTCTTTCCTTATTTATTTCTTTCTCTTTTCTTTTTTTATCATTCTTTCTCTCTTTCTTTCTTTTTCTTTTTTCTTCTTTCCTTTTTTCTACCTGCCTGCCTGCCTGCCTACCTTCCTTCCTTCCTTTCTTTCTTTCTTTCTCTCCTTCCTTCCTTCCTCCCTCCCTCCCTCCCTTCCTTCCTTCTTTCCCCCTCTCCTCTCTTCCTTTTGCGATCCTGGGTCTTAAAGTCAGGGCCTGGGAGCTGTCCCTGAGCTTCCTATTTTATTTTATTTCTTGTTCTTTTTTGCTCCAAGCTAACTCTACCACTTGAGTCACAGCTCCTTTTCTGGCATTTATGGTGGTTTATTGGAGATAAGAGTTTCACCCACTCTCTTGCCTGGGCTGGCTTCGAACCACAATCCTCAGATCTCAGACTCCTGAGTAGCTAGGATTATAGGTGCCCATCTACAAAAGTTGATTTTCAAGCGTGTGTTTCTGTTTACTGTGGGGTGAAGACTTCCTGGTAGCTTGTGGTGGGGAAGCTAGCACCTGCCCAAGGATGACAGGCAGCGCTACCTTCTGAAGCCTGGCCCTGGGCTGTCCGTCCTCTGCAGAGCTGGCTGGAGGATGTGATCCTCTTGGAAGAGCTCTGATGCTTCCTTCCCGCTCCGTTGTACCTCTTACCTCCTCATGTGGAGAACTTGGAGACAGAGAGAGGTAAGTGTGTGAAATGGCATAAAGAAATGAGAGGTGTGAGATTAATTTTGATTAGTCAAATTGAAAAAAATAAAAAAATTGCCTGGGGATCTCATTATTTTATAATTTTTTCATATTCATGAAGTATAAAATGAGTCATGGCAGATAATTCTGGGCAAAACATTAAGAAAGAAAAATCTTCCCAATGGCTTCCAGGAACTGGATCAGGATGTTTAGAAACACAGACACATTTTTCTACCGTCCAAGGAATAGACTAATGCTATATAAGCCATCATATTTATTTTATTATATCTTTCACAAAGTTAAGTAAAACTTGTTTTTTTTTAACTGCATGAAATAAATAAGCCCTGTGGAAAACTTGCTGCAGAAAAAGCCACTTGGCCGTCTGAAAGTTTTGCTGTAAATATGCTGAGGATTTATGGTTTGGCAAAGGCTCTCTGTTTTCTTCTAGCAGCAATAAACACTTTTCTGAAATCCTCTGGAAATACCAGGTGCTCAGCTTGGATATAGAGAAACAATAGCTCGTGTTAACCTTTGCGGTGCCACCCCGCTATTCAGGGCTTGAAATTTGGGTGGAATTGTAATGTTAATAAGAGTGAAGGAAGTTTAATGAATGTTCCTGTTGATAGTACATGCATATATGCCCTTTGGGAGGTAACTTGGATTACACTTCATGATGGCCTGCCTGCCTGCCTGCCTGCCTGCCTTCTTTCCTTCCTTCCTTCCTTCCTTCCTTCCTTCCTTCCTTCCTTCCTTCCTTCCTTCCTTCCTTCCTTCTTTCCTTTCTTTTTCTCCTCTCTCTTTTCCTCCCTCTCTCCCTCCCTTCCTTCTCTCTATCTCTGTCTCTGTCTCTCTCCTTCTCAGTAGTACCAGATTTTTAATTCACAGTCTCACATTCTTGCTCAACTTTTTTACTTACCTCTTGAGCTACATCTCCATCCCTGTATTTTTGCTGGTTAATTGGAGATAAGGGTCTCTTGGTCTTTTCTGTCCAAACTGGTTTTGGACCTAGAGCATCCTTCTGAGTATCTGGGATTACAGCCATAAGCCACTGATAGTTAGCTATATTTGTGTCTTTATAAGAAGAGGAAGGGAGATCTGTACTATGACACTTGTTCTGTCTCCTGTGAGTATGTTATGGTATAGTTTACTGGCTCTCATCAGTCGCTACACCATGCTATTACTTCCAGCCTCTAGAGTTATGAGCTAAAGAAATCTTCTATTCTTTATAAATTATACAGTCACAGATGTTTTCTTAGCAACTGAAAAGAGACTATAACAGTTTAGTCAGGCATTCTCATTTGGGTGTCTCAGAGCTCTCAAGAAAGGCAATCTGGTGTAGAAGATACCTCTTAAGTAGTGCTCACCATTCCATCTTGAGCACAAAAATCATTTTTTTTGATGGGGAGGATGCAGAACATTAGTTTCATTGTATTTTTTGCTAGATATCTACATGTCTGCTGTGAATCAGACTTTACTATCAGTGTGTTGAGAATATTGCTGAGGAATGGGGTTTTGCAAGCACAGAGGAGAAGCAGATTGTGTACATGCATGTGTCTGTACGTTTGTGTGTGTATGCTTGTTGGTAGGCGGTACATTGAAAGTCTCCTGGAAGAACTGACATTTCAAAACTTGAAGTTACTGAGAAGTAAAGGAAAAAAAATATGATTCAAAGGTAAGAGCCTCAGAGCGGTTTAGAAAAGAGAGTGAATGGTGTGTTTGGGGATGGTAACATGGGACAGGGCCTCCTTTCCTGACTCGGGTTAGCGATCTGATCTACTTCATCCTCCCCCCCCCCCCCCCCCCCCCCGCTCAATGTAATCACACTTGAGTATAGGTATGGTTATCTTGTGTTCAGTTTTTAATGTGTTATAGCTATTTGTCTGTCTGTATTTCTGTTTATCTGTCTGTCTGTCTATCCATCTCTCTGTTATTTTCTCTCTCTATCTACCTACCTATCCATCCATCTATCTATTGAATGTAATTATCTATTTACCCATCTGTCTACTTTTCTACCTACCTTTCTAGACAGATTAGGAAACCTCCAGAAGTTTTCATTACTTACCCAAGTCATACTGCTAGGACTAGAGCAGGCTTCCCCCATGGCAGGCTAGTTGTTACAGGAGTGTCCCCTTAGCCATGGATCTGAATTTTAGCCCCACCTCTTCCTGTCTGGCCATGCCGATCAACATATGTGGCTTCATTTTCCTCATTTGCATAATGCAAATCATAATAAGTTTTATCCAGCATCACCCAGCACAACCTAAGGTAATTCAAGCAGTACTTGGCCCAAAGTAAGCACTCTTCAAGATTTTCTAGGAAAATTGTTTTATGACACACACTACCAAGAAGCCTGAATGTGCGCATCAATAGAGGTTAGCCTAAGAAACAGTGTGAATCTTCTGTTATTCCTTAGGGCTTTGTAATGTTTTATGGCTCCTTTCAAGAGCCCATGAATTGACAAGAAGTCATATGTACTGTTCCCATATTCATTTAGGGGTTTAAAGCCGAAGCACAGCTTGTTTCAGAGATAAAAGCATTTTGCATGAAGACAGACAAAAAGCCGCCAGTCACAGTAGCCCCAGTTCCCCGCATGGCCATCACTGGTCTGTGGACTTGCCAACTCTGCCTTTTACCTGGCTTTTTGAGATCTCTGTTTCCTAGAAAACTTTAATATAGTTTAAACTGGAATGGGGAAACAAATAGATGAGGTAAAACACATAAAAAAAGGCATATCTCTGAGTGTATTTTAGGGACTGATAACATTCTTTAGTGAAGCCACGGCTTTGTACATGGGAGACAAGTACTACACTCTTGGGCCATGTTTCTAGGCCTGTTGTACCTATTTTGCTTTTGAAACAAGGTTTAACTGGTCTTGAATTCATGATCTTCCTACCTCTGCCTCTCAAGTAACTGAGGCTCCAGGCATGTGCCACTTGTACCCTGTTCTTTATATAGTCTTTCTACTAGGGAAAAAATATATAGAAACCTCTATTTCTTAGGGCTCTATCCTTGCCAAATGCTACTCTCTCTCTTACTCTTGTTGCTTTATGGTACCAATGTATTTGACTCTGTGTTGCAGTCAGTTGTCTACCTGCTTATTTCTCTCTGTTAATCTCTCAGGACAAAATCTATAATACTGTCTTTTGCTCTCTTGTCATCTAGGATCACCTGTCACAAAGCAGCTGTGAGTGAACAAAAGCAGCTCAGCATTCCTATGCATGAGACAGAAGTGCCTGGCTGAGGATTCCATCCCACACAAGCCCGTATGTCTAGTTCTTCCTTCTCTCCCTCCTGCTCAAGTACCTTCCAGGACTGCTTGGAATCTTTTATTGTTTTTCTATGTAACACTATTGACAAAGTAGTTTTATAACACTTAGCCATTTGAAGAAATTCATGCCATGTTGAGAGGGTCAGAGAAGAAGTTAAAAACTACTCCAAATCCCATCATCCTGAAAGAACACATGTAACAATATGGTGCATATTCTTCAAGGTGTATGTATGTATGTATGTATGTACTTATTTTTGCTGATCCTGGGACTTTTAACTCAGTGTCCTGACATTGTTTCTGAGCCTTTTTGTTCAAAGCTAGTACTCTACTCCACTCACTTCCAACAGCTTTTTTCAGTCTCATCAGTTTTCCTGCCTGGGCTGGCTTTGAACCACAGTTCTAAGATCTCAGCTTCTTCAGTAGCTAGGATGACAGGCACGAGCCACCAGCACCTACCTGCCTTATTTTCCTTATTGTATAAAATGAGACATACTTTGCAAAGATAAAATCATAACATATATCGTATCACAGTTATTTCCTTTTTAAGCACACTGTGGCTGCTTTACAAAGCTCTGTGGGCAGGAGAGCATTCACGGTTATGGGAGTGGTTTAGAGCTCTGTTTGGGTTCACATCACTGGGCTATCACTGTCTGGACACTCAGAGATAGCTGTATTTTCTAGTTTCTAGTGTAGGAGCCCAGGGGGAAGGCATCCCCATATACAAGTTCTGAGAGCCAAGCACCGGTGGCTCATGCCTGTAATCCTAGCTACTCAGGAGGCTGAGATCTGAGGATTGTGATTCAGAGTCAGCCCAGGCAAGAAAGTCTATGAGACTCTTATCCACAATTAACCACTAGAGAACCAGAAATGGCGCTGTGGTAGAGCACTTGCCTTGAGCTGAAGAGCTGAGGGACAGTGCCCAGGCCCAGAGTTCAAGCCCCATGACCAACAACAACAAGAAAGAAGTTCTGAGAGCAGGAACCCCAATGTCTGCATCCAAGAGAGGTTCCCATGCTTACCCCTGCATGTGCCACAGCCACAGGACTCTGCTACAAGTCCATCTCCAGGCTCTTTGCTCATTCCCTTATTAATAAGTATGTAAGTTGCTTTTGATTTTGTACACCTATGAATAATTAATGATACAATGAACATCCTGGTACAGACATCTCTTCGAACCCTTGTTCTAACTTATTTCCTCCCAATTCATTTGGAAATGTGAAACGGTGCCATTTCTTGATATACATTGTTCCAATGTCTTGGAGAAATGTTTCCTTGAACTAGTTTCTCCAGCCATTATCATGGCATGATTACTGTGTTGAACCTGAACCATCCAAAGTAGCTTGCTTTCGGGTCTTGTCTTTATCCTTGTGTCAGTGCAATGATTTAATGCATCAGCCATTCACAACACGAGAGAGAAGGCTGGGGTCTAGTGTCTGGTTCACAGGTGGGCTTGATCTGTCTGCCCATGTACAGCCTACAGTCAGCTTCTGTCTTCAGCTAGTCTCACTACACAGGATGAACTACAAGATGGACAGAACTAGGCTAGCTCTTTGGTGTGGCCAATGGATTGGTGACAAAAGAGCCCTGTCAACACTCAGGAGTGACCTGTGGGAGCACCGTGTGGTGGTTTCTCCTTCGTGGGGCACACCTCCACAGGGCAGGTCCTGGCCTGGTCGCCTCTGCTTTCCTGGCTGCAGTGCCTTGGGGAGATGACTCTGTGGAGCACCTGCTGCTCCTCCCACCTCCAGGGAGGTTGTCTAGAAACACAGCAGGAGAGGAAGGTGGTGTTTAGTTACCCGAGCTTTCCAGCCTTTGAGATTTCTAGAGCTAGTGTTGCATTTACTCATTCTGAATAGTCAAGAGAAGTGTAAGGTAATGTTTGCCTTTCAAATGTAATTTAGAGTCTCGGCTCTTGAAGGCACATACTAGTTTTCACACATAAAATCGGAACTTCTAGAAATTTATTTGTAATTCTTGAATCTATTTCCCCCTCTCAAGGCAGATGGACATGAAAGAAAAAATTGTATGCATTGTAGATTTCTTATATTAACTTAGTTACTGCTTGAAATTTGACAATTTGGAAAAAGTACATAGTTGAGGGATTTTCTTCATAATCCACTGTCAGAGTCAGATGCTGTAACATTCTGATGGCTTCAAGTGATAGGATTAAATATCAATGTAATTTTTCTAGCATAGTCAATCCAATTATGGCAGTCAGGTGGTGATATTTTAATATTATTTAAGCAAAAGATTGAACTGCAATTCTCATTTTAATTAAGTGAGATGGAGGTTGGATGGAATTTCATCTTCCATTATTAGTCCTATGATTTTGTTACTCTCAGATTTGATTGAAAATTGGTTTGTGATTGATGGATAGTGACCTGCTTATATTTTATTTTAATTTTTTTCATTTTTCCTGGGTAAAAGTGCATTTCCACAATATAGGAAGTTTGGCAAGAGTGGAGACGTTCATCAGGAGCAGCACAACTGCAGAAATTTGGCAGTATACATAGACAGCTCCTTTAGCATGTGGCTACAATGTATCTATTTTTGGGGGGGGTCGTCCAGTCATAGGCCTGAGCTCTGGGCCTGGGCGCTGTCCCTCAGCTCTTCAGCTCAAGGCTAGCGCTCTACCACTTGAGCCACAGCGCTACTTCCGGCTTTTTTTTCTTTCTGCTTATGTAGTGCTGAGGAATTGAACCCAGGGCCTCAATCATGCAAAGCAAGCGCTCTACCACTGAGCCACCTTCCCAGCCCTACAATACATCTTAGTATGCAAGACATTTAGAAATTCCTGACAGCTGCTCTTAGAGCAAATCACTTACCTTTACACTTCAAATCACATGAAGAGTGTTTTGGGTTTCAACAAAATGTTAAAGTTGCTTCCATCTTTCCTAATATTTTTAAAGTTTGGTTGTCTGACACCATGATGTGAAATGTCCTAACTGAATCTATATAAGAACAAGTGTTGGAGGAGTGGGGTACCATCTCCAGCCCCATCAGTAGATAAAGTATTAGTTCAATCAGTCATTGCAAACTTTCAAATTTTCAAGCTCCCAAACAGGTGTCTGCAGTCCTTTAACTATATTTGCAGAGCCTGGGTTCTCACCTGGGGATGTGTTTTGTACCCCTCCCCAGGGACAATTGACAGTCTCTGGAGGCAGTATTGGTTGTCATGATACCTTGGCATCTCATGCTACAGTTGGGGATACTGCTAAGTATCTCACACTGCTTAGCACAGTGCCCACAGAAAAAAACATGTTGACAGTGTCAAGGTTGAGGAATATGGGTGTAGAAGTTTGCAAGGTCATGCTGTCTCCAGGGAAGCTGGCGACCCTAATATGAGCCAGAAGCAGCCGTGTCATGTCAAAAACTTTCGGAGATGTTCCAGAACTGACTGAAATCCAGGAGACTTGAAACTCACAGGAAACTAAATCAACCTCCCCCCACACCTCATTCAGCTCCACTGATGTGAGGCCTCAATGGACAGAATAGATGCTCGTGTTGGACATATGTAGCTCGTATGCTTGCCATTGGCAAGCTAAATGGGACTCAGAGCACCCAGAAATGCTGCCTGGAGTCTAGACTCAAAAGAATGGGGAGGCTTTGGGGGTACATGAGGGTGGCTGAGACTCGCTTTTGACACTCTTCATTCCTGAGATGTTCCACCATTGGGTGAGTCACGCTGCATCTTTGTGGTGAGACTCCTCTCCTGTATACTGGTTACCACCTTGTGTCTTTTGCACTTTCTTCCTCTAGTTTCACCCTTGATCAGCTCTCTTTTGTTGTCCCTATTGATTCTTTTCATTAATTTTCTTTTTAGTCTTCTTGGTTTGAGGGAGAGGAACTGGTTCCAAACAATGCGCAAAGCACCACTGGGTGACCAGGATAATTAATATGAAGATTAGTATTAGGACATTGTCCCAAACTGAAGGCAACAATACAATAGTGTTTCAGAATATGGCACTCTCGTGGTAGGGAGATAGAGGATTCTGTGCAGGTAGCAAGGACACAGAGCCCATCCTGCATTGTCACATGGAGTCACTGCTTTGATATCTCAGGCACTGATTTGATCGCTTTGGAAATCAACCTTATACCTGTGGGAATGGTGGAGGGACTGGTTCCCACTCCTACAGACTATCTGCGGCCCCTTTGAATTTTCCTGGATTTAGTTACAAGATGGAACATCAGGTCTCCAGAGGATGAAGCCATATAACGTTCCATTTCATCTTTAGTTTTCTCTCTCAATAATAGAGGCAATCATTTCATACGTGTTTTGAAGGCTGTAGTCAACCCTCGGTGAAATTCAGCCAGGCTGGAAGGAAGCACTAGGATGGTTCAGAGAGGTATTATGAAGAGAGGAATTCTGCAGAAGTTCACTCAATCCTTCAGTGAACTTGATGTGCTTTGCCAGCATCCTGCTGAATCACTCAGCAGAGTCAGAAACCTGCTAAGAGGTAAATCATAACCAATCCTCGCTTCTTTGACCAAGTCACCTCTACTCACATTGGCAGGAACTCAAAGAACTAGAAACTTTGAGTGAGATTGTCAAGCAGGGAGCAGGGAATAGGTTAGAGGTACATGTTTTCTTTTCACACAGATCCTGATGCTTCGGTCACGTTCTACCCACCTCGCTTAACTCCCCATTGACCTTCTTTCTACAAGGGCTAAAAGGAATGTTGATGTTCACAGTAAATGAAGTCACACAGACTCATCTAGTTTTAGTCTTGGCTCTGGTCCTCCTTAGATATGGAACTTCAGACACATAGCTTCTTTGAACCTCAATGTCTCACCTATGAAATGGGAATAATAATGTGTAGTATGTTCATTGCTTGCAGGTGGAGGAGGTGTGAGTAAATATCTCATCAATGTACCTGGCATATTGTGGGAATTCAGAGAATACTAGTTATCACTTGGTGTGGAGGAAAATCACACCAAAAATCGGAATGCTTTTACAGGGGGCGTGAATGAATTCACAGTAAGAACTCATGACTGGTCTTACATGCCTTTTGAAAATCCAGGTTTACAATCTTTTTCTTTTTAGTAGGAATCATGGTGACAGAAAATGGACCAAGCACAGGAATTCTGAATTTTGGTGGCAGGAAGAGTGAAAAGGACAGCTAAGTTGTCATTCATTCGTGAGACATTGCCTGAAGGCTCCCGAGGTACCAGTTTCTATTAAATAAAAGGATGCACTTGGCAACCTCACCCTGTGTCCCTGAGACAGACTTGACCTTTCTGTGGAGAGACAGTGCTTGGAGATTCTTGAAATGCTGAATAGTCTAAGCACCTTGTGATTTTCTTCCATCCTTTATTAATACACTGTTATCAAAGCTGTTTGGAGTTAATTAATTATCTTCCAGACAAATTAATCTTACCTTCTCTTGAAAGGTGCTATAGTTGGAAAGGCATCTGACAAGAAAGACTATATGTGTGCACTGTAGATTCTTTTTTATAAAGGCTCAGCAGCATTTCTGGTTCATTGCAATGCAAATATTTAAGGCTGACCCAATCATGCTACTGGGAGACTGTGAAGGGAGAGAAGATGGAGGAGGAGGAGGAGGAAGAGGAAAGAGGAGGAAGGAAAGGATCAAGAAGTGGGAAGGAGAAGATTTTTTTATCTCTTGAATTGCTATTATTTATTCCTGTTGAGAATTCTCTGCCATCTCTACCAAGAGTTCTGTCTGTGAATTGAGTTTGGGTAGATCTGTGTGTGCTTCTAAGTCTTTCTTCATTATCACCTCTGCCAGAAGTGGAAATTTACCCCCTCTGAAATGCAGGAATATATACCCAGGGCTTGCTCTTCCCCTGGTAGGACAACTTGGACTCTATGCCCTCTAGCTGGCTCTGCTTCAGCTGCTGTACATTATCAGGAAACTTACTTGTTTACTTGCTGAGCTCTGGGGCTGGACTCAAGAACATCTAGTTCAGGGGTCCCAGCACTGAAGGTAATACCCTGAAGATCAGGAAACCACGAGGAATGTTTGTTTAATGAGTACTGTAGCCAGAGGCATGCTTTTGCTCTGAATCAATATTTATTTCTCCTCCTCCCTTTTGGACCTAGTGTAGATTAGAAAACATGAAAATCAATGGATGGATGTTAAGATGCTCCTACAATTTGTGAGGGTGCATCAACATGAGACAAGACTTACCTGGTTGGGAATGGAAATGGTTTTTGATTTGTTTAATTTAGTCAGAGAGGAAAAACTGAGCGTTTGTCTTTCTGTTTGTTTTGGCACAAATTTCAAGCTCCTTGGACCCATTTGCACATGTGCATGCGCACTGCACACACATACACATATACACTGTACACACATACATCCCACACATTAATTAGAAGACTCTGCATTAGTACCTGTCATCATTTCCAGTCTGTGAAATCTGTCAATGGGCCAATAGAGAAAAAAAATGGAATGTATCTCACCTTTGAAATCTATGGATTTCAAATTATAGCAACAGTGTTAATTTTATTGGAGTTCCAACCCCTGCAGAAGCTGGACTCTGAAATGGATTAAAATATGTTCATTTAGAAGCTTACAATATATATCTTGAATGAACTGACTAGAAGACTAACATACCTGTGAGGAAACCATGTGGGAGATGAGAGTTTCTAGTGTCCTAGATTATTTTGGCTATTCCCTCAATCCATAGTGATGCTTGAAACATTCTATTACAGTCAAGTTCTGAGAGCCCTTATACCTATTCATATATTCAACTGGAGCAATGATTTCAGAGGAGGAAAAGAATATCACCTCCCTGACAATTTCATGGGGCCCTAAGGCTTACATGCTCAGAGCATGGAGTCTGTGATAGAATTCTTGGCTATGTTTCTTCCTTGGAGTTACAACTCAGTGGATGGTTTCTTTTTCAGGTGAGAGTGATTTCCCAGCCATTGCTTTGGCTTGCATAACCAGAAGACAGGCTTGGCTGCTCAATGCCTATGTGCACCCCACATTCCAGTGAGGGAAGAAGGGTGGAGCTTCTTGGATGACGATGGATGTTCTACTGTGCAGGATGAAGGCAGAGTGTGTGACATCGCCACCACAAAGGTAAGAGTCACTTCTCAGTGTCACTTTTCTCTTGACAGCTGTTGTATAGCAGAGGAAGAAGAAAATGAACAATACAGTATAGTAACATGAATGATTAGAACGATTAGGTTATTCTCTGGATAAAATCCATTGAGCAATTGATGTGAGTAGTTGAAAGAGAAAGGGCTGTGCCTGGAAGGGTTGGATTAATGTTGAGTGATGTCTTAGTCCATGTTTGGAACATTCTGTGGCATACATGTAACATCACTAGTATTGTGACATGATTCCTCTTATTTGAGTCCATCTGGCTAAAAAAATAAATGCCCTAGAACTTATATTGGTGTAAGTGTGGCTCAGGTTACAGAAGCATATGTTGTGGGAAACAATGTTTAGTGCATGGTAGAATGGGTCTAATGAAATTTGAGCTATTTTTACAAATGTAAAAATCAGAGTTTCCATATCTTTGTACAACCCTGGAGGCTATGTCTATACTGTACCTCTGCTCCCCCAAAAGAACTATATAATGCATCCTATCGACTTAAACAAGGATAGATAGTTCAGCAAGGTCCTGAACAAACCCTGCATTTGCTCGAATGAACTATTTTGGCTGCTGGAGCATTAAAGTTTGCCGTACTTGGTCTGGAAGTGAGACTCTTATTACTAGACTGTGAACAGTAGTTAGCATAAGGGCTGTAGCTATGGAGAGGATAAGGGATGACTTTCTGATGGCTGCTCACTCCAACCACTGAGCTCCTACACAGAAGGAGTCGGCTGCTCGCCTCTGTAGCTACAGCCTTTTCTCTTTTGCTCCTTCCAATCTGTACAGCCTATTAAGCACCTGTCACAGGGTATTCTAATGTCTTTTATATCATCCTGTGAGTGATGCTGATACAATGGCTTATATTAGGGGTGCCGGAGAAAGTGAATAGAAGAGGAGGCAGAGGACAGGGAACTATGAATTGATCTGGGTCCTTTCAAATTCTCTACAATTCCTTCTCTTGACTACCAGAACCTTGCTGTTACAGACATTCATAAGTACACTTCTCCATATAATGGAGTACACATAAGTGTACTTCTCCACATAATGGGGTTCCGTTGGAGAAGTAATGTGGCTAGAGATGCAGGGTGAGCAGCTCCTTTTGGGGAAAAGTCTGTATTTTCCTTATTGAAAAGTGGTCCCCTGTGAGGTTTTGCCTTTTATGAATAGGTCAGCTTTCTGGCTATCTGGCTCACTAAGTTACTCAGCCTTCTGAGCGTCCCAATGCTTGGAGATGTGCTGTGTAGAATACAGAGATCCCTGGAGTTTCCAGAGAGGAGAAGTCATACACCAAGCAGAGATCTAATAGGGCTAGCACAGAGCTAATACTGCTGTATGGATGGAAGGAGCAGAAGAGAAAGGAATGAGGCAAGAAGGGGGAAGGAAGGAAAATATACTATTGCATTAAGCCCTATTGTTGTTGTTTTGATGTTTTTTGTCTTTTTAGCTTCTGTGTGTGTGTGTGTGTGTGTGTGTGTGTGTGTGTTACTCAGGACTGAACTCAGGGCTTCACACTTGCTAGGCATACTTATTTCTACTGAACTACCAACCCCTAGGTCATATTTTTATTTTTATTCTTTTAGTTTTTATTTTACTTTTTTTGGTCCAGTCGTGGGGCCTGAACTCTGGGCCTGGGCGCTGTCCTTCAGATCTTCAGCTCAAGGCTAGCACCCTACCACTTGAGCCATCTTGAGCCACAGCGCCACTTCCGTTTTTCTTCTTTTTTGCTTATGTGATGCTGAGGAATCGAACCCATGGCCTCATGCATGCAAGGCAAGCGCTCTACCACTGAGCCATCTTCCCAACCCATAGTCTTATTTTTATACTTTTACATTTTTGTGACTTCCAGGTTATTCCTCATTTAAAAAATTATTGTTATTGTAAAGGTGATGTACAGAGGGCTTGCAGTTGCAAAAGTCGGGTAAAGAGTACATTTCTAACCCTAAGATATGTATTCAAATGTTTTTTTCTTTCAGGAGATTGTTTCTGACACATAAGATTATTTCTTTGTTGCTTTGTATGTCCCTCCCCCACAGTATAACCCCTGCTTTCACTGTATTTGATGTCGGTATAATTTGTGGAGGGGAAGGGAAAAAACAAATCTTTTAAATAGGGATACAGGTGGACCCATTGCAACAATGAGATGTACAAGTCATTATGTTGAAAAATGAACTTTACAACTTTGGTGGGTGGGGGAGGAAGATTGGGTGGGGGTTGGGAGGAGGATGGGAAGGGATGGGAAGAGGAAACAAAGGAGGAGGCTACAATGTTTGATAAGAAATGTACTCATTATCTTGCCCACATAATTGTAACCCCTCTGTACAGTATTTTCACAATAAAAAAAGAAAAAAAGAAAAAATTAATAAAAAAAGAGTACATTTCTAAGCCAGGTGCTGGTGGCTTACGCCTATAATCCTAGATACCCAAGAGGCTGAGATCTGAAGATTGCGGTTTGAGGCCAGCTGGGCAGGAAAGTCCTTCAGAAAGGCTAGTAGTGGCATTGTGACTCAAGTGGTAGAGTGCTAGCCTGGAACTAAAGAAGCTCAGGGACAGTGCCAAGGCCCTGAGTTCAAGCTCTAGGACTGGCACACATACAAAAGAATGCATTTCTTTTTGGATAATGTCAGCCTTACCCTTGCTCTCTCCCAGTTTTTCCCTCCCATCCCTGCCCACAAGTTGTAAAGTTCATTTTCAGCATTGTGTCCAGTGTGTATCATTGCTGTATTTGTTTACCCTTTGTCCCTCCATTTCTGCCCCACCTTTACACTCTCCAAAACATATAAACAAACAGGACAAAAATAAATTAAAACAAAAAATAGGAAAGAAGAACCCCAAAACTCTTGTTTCCATTTCCTGGAGTTCATTTTGATAAATATTACTTCATATTCTCAGATGTGCATAAGCAGTGTGCCTTTCTGTTCCTCTCCTGAGAGTATCCTCCTTTGGTCTCACTGTGTGTGAACGGCCTAGAGATCTGTATCATTTATTATATCCCAGGGCTCATGATGTTCAGGGTAGATGTCTAGGAGTGGAATGTCTGGGTCACAGGGAAGATCTGTTCAGAGTATACATGTCACCAGCAGTGTAACAGGGTTCTTTTCTCCCCATATCCCCACCAACGTTTGTTATTCAAGTTCACAATGTTGGAAAATCTAACAGGGTGAGGTGCAATCTCAAAATTGTTTTATTGACTTTTCCTTTATGGCCAGGGATGATGAGCATTTCCTCATGTGTTTCTTTGTCATTCTTACCTAGGTTACATTTTTAGAGTAAATTTTTACATAGGTCTTGTGAGTCATGGTTCCAAAAAGACTTTTGCATTTGTTATTTGTTTACTTTAATCCTGGGATTTGAACTCAAAGCTTCACGCTTGCTAGGCAAGCGTTGTACCCACTTGAGCTATAACCCCAATACTGCATTTATTATCTTGTCATTGAGTTGGGTTTGGCATTTCATTTCACAGTTGAAGAGTCTTCCTTGCCACGGTCACATAGCTGGGAAGAGACAATTCAAATATTAGTTTCCCTAGGCTTTGTCTCTCAGTGTTTGATATATCTTTTGGCTCAGTGTGAATAATGGAACATAGTGTGTTAATTTTGTTTCACTCATTATATAAGAGTTTGGTTCAGGTTATGAGTGTTCTGAAATTGGGTGGCCTAGGAAGCCAGGGAGTATACCACGGGTGTGTTGCCAGCCTTGGCCCATGCTTGGCAAGCATGTCAAATACAGAAGAGAGCTAGAATGGAGTTTTGTGGCTTAGTTATCCAGTGGGATTCACACTTACATCAAGCTTCCTCTGTGCATAGGGATGGATAGCTCCTGGAGTCAGTGGTCCATGAAAGGGCCTTAGGAATATCCAAGCAGTGCTGTTCCTAGGAACAAAGATTCCAATCTGAAAGGCTCTTGGAAGTTTCCCATGTTTTACATTCTGGCTTTGGTCATGTCCTTCCAGATTCCTTGCAAGTACTATTTAGATGCTATAAAACCATCCATTCATGAAGGCCTGAACTCAAATCCATTAACATCTTCATTTCTAAATGCACAGGGAGGTGGAGGCTCCCATGTAAGGGGAAGGGACTGGGGAGATACTGGTGTTGATTGGATTGGGTTTAGATTTCAGTTCTGTTTGTGTTTACGTGATTTTATTTGGTATTTTCTCACGTGAGGTTACTAATCTGTGTTCTATTACTATAATAAAATACCCAAGGTCCAGTAATTTATGGAGGAAAGGATTTGTTTAGTTCGAAAGTTTTGATGCATTAGAGGTCGTAGGATAAGACAGGAAGCCAGGGAGAATAATGCAGGACTCAGCCTTTTTCTTTTATACCAAAAGAATTCCCTCCTGGGGGTTCCACAAGAATGACCTTGATCCCTTCTGGAGGCCATGCCTGCCTGGGCATAACCTGTTCTCATCAGATTTCACCTCTTAGGATTGTTGCCCTGGGAGTCTTCTAAAATCTGACCCAGAGGATCAGATGCACATGGGTATTGGGATCCTGGAGGACAAGGAACATTGAAAACATAGTACGCAATGTAGTTGGAAGTTGAATTTAGCAAGACATACTCTTTTTAAAAACCCAAATGATTTTTTCTTTTGCATTTACCACAATGAAATGAAACTTTTGGATGGGTGCTCCAAAAAGATTACAGTATTCTTGCTGAAAATGGCCTGTTTATTTTTTCCTTTGATGAAATGAATTATATAGATTTTGTTTTGAAAAGTGGAAGGCAAAAAGAATTTAAGTATCTATTGACTTTTATGGAGTTGGTTTTAATGTATCATTCTACTCAATAAGAAAAGCTGGCTTATCCTTTCATTTTCTGAGAAAAGCAAGACTTATCAAAGACAGCCCTAGATGTAGGTATATGTGCCTCAGTCAGCTTTGATTTATATATAATATAATTATATTATTTTTTGAGTAGATTTCAGAGAATGAAGACAGGAGAGGAGGAAAGGAACTAAGAAGTTTTGGGGTTTAGACGT